ACTTTTACATCACATCCTTCAAGAGAATATCCTATTGACAGTTTATGGTAATTCTAACCATTATGAATTATCAAATGAGTCGGTTCAATGATCATATCTCTACATGCATCATCTATCTATGTAATTTAGTTAATGAGATCAACTAATCTTTATTCCATAAAGACGATTACATAAATATTGATCTAACCGGATTACTAATGTCCAAATTAATAATCCTACGATCAAGAACAAATTTAGATTAAATTATAAGAGACTTTGCTCTCATTATCATGATCTCTATCACGATGACAAATCCCAAAATTTAATCAAGGACCTTATCAAATTAATCAAACAATTGATAATAACTATGATAAAAGAATGCCATATATTTTTATATCAAATAGCGTTCACAAAAATATGTTCAAATCATCAAATATGATATTGGATCTAGGACATATCTACTATCTCTAACATAATAATGATAACATTTTTAAAAGTCTTGAAAAATGGTTTGAAAAATTAGTAATTAATGATAAGAGTAAAATATGAAAAAAAAATTATCTTTCTCTTGATTTAGTAAAATGAATGTATGTACTACATAATAATAATAATAAAGGGTTTAAACCGAAGAAAAAGAAAAAGGAAACTATCATATTAAACGCAAGATTCACAAAGTTTATTTAATCCTCAAAAATCAGTGCTAATTTTTTTCTTTTAAGTGTTGGCAATCTGGGGTTACTTTAGTGTTCCTTAATCAATATTCATTAAATTAACAACGGGATTCTGTAGATTTGTGTTTAAATATTAGTGCCCCATCCTCGTGTCACACTGGCTTTCTTTAATTTGAACCTATAAGAATAAAGAAAAAGATAAAAAGCTCTCATTTTCTTACACATAAAAAGCTTGCACTCTCTTCACCCCTAATCTTCTGTCCACTCTTCTCTCTCCTCTTATTTTTTCTCTCTCTAAAAGCAAAAGCAAAAGCAAGAAGAAGACAAACCCAGTCTCAGATCCTTCCATTCTCCAACCCAGAAAAGGCTATAAAAACAACAACCACACGCTCCACAAATATTACTTCTTCATTCTTCTATTTCCCTTTTCTCTTTTTAAATTTCATACAAATTCAAGTATATAAATAGCATTGGATTTTTGCAAGAACATTATTTTGTTTTGTTTTTTGATTGGGTAAATGAGGTGTAAAAAGCACCTTTCGGACCTGAGTAGCAGCGTCGGAGTCTGCGCTTCCTGCCTCCGTGAACGGCTCTTTGCGCTTATTGCCGCACAGGCCCAGGCCCAAGCCCAAGCCCAAGCCCAAGGTCAGGCGCGAGCTCACGTGCAGCAGCAGCTGTTTCACGAGGATCATCGGAAATCTGATAGCAATCCTCCGCCGCTGGTGTTTCCGCGCTCCGTTTCCCCGTATATTTCTCGCCGGAAATCTGATACGACGCCGTGGCAATTCCAGCACAATTCGCTTCCCTCTATTCCAGATCAAAGATTTTACAGTACTCCACAAGTGGGTCCCAACAGTACGGTAATTGCTGCTGGTCATGGGCCTTATAAGAAGAAAGGTTATTTTAGATTTTTCTCGGGTCTGTTTAGATCCAGGACGGAGAAACTAGATTCGGATCCTAGGGTTTCGAATTTCGGCGATGCTTACCCGGCGTCGTCTTCTTCACCGTCGTGGTTCACAACGATTCTCTCCGGTCGTCGGAAAAAGCAGTCGCGCACGTTTTCTGTAGAAGAATCGACGATCGGAGGTCATCGGAGGACGTGTCGTAATCGCGATCGAGGAATGTCTCCGGCTCGATATTCGGACGATGAGGAAGACGAACATTGTAACGGCGGATCGAGCGGGTACTCGTCGGAGTCGTCGAAACAGACTCCGAGGAGAACACCGGCAGCTCAACATGGCCGGCGAGGTAAATCGAGTCATAATCGGAACCTCACCGGGATGGCGTTTTGCTTGAGTCCTTTAGTGCGTGCGAGCCCGAGCAGAAATTGGAATCAGAAGGGAATGCCGCCGGAAATGATATTCTCCGGCGAGATAAGAGTACCAACAAAGCCTCAGCTTTCCACAGCGACGTCCTTTTGCAAGAACAGATCGAGGAAGCTTGCCGATTTCGGAAGGTTCAATCCCAACCATTGATTTCAGCGAACGTTGACATTTGACCAATTTGACGATCACGACTTCTACGACTGTGATCATATAAAAATGAAAGTACGGTTTTGCCCTTGTTTGTTTTAGTTTTTTTTTTTCTTTTCTTCTCATCAGTATTTTCTCTGTACAATTCCACTACATACAAGAAAAAAAATAATCAAAATATTTTATCTAGATATCTTTTCCAATGTGTAACTTGTTTTCCGGACATTTCATTAGAATGGATTATTCGCATTACCCGACCCATTTACTCACAATATCAAAGAACAAAACTTAGTGGATTGGGTGTGGTTGAGTAACATGGTGGATGGTGCTCCCCATTTATTTCAGCGTTAGGTAGGCTACAAGATTATTTGTTTTTGATGAGTGAACAGTGCAAAACCATGTGTAAAATTATGGGCTATATATAGTTGCCTTTTGTTTTAGTAAAGAGATTGATATATTTATCTTATTTTTGCTATAAAATATTAAATTGATACGATACACTGATATGTAAAACTTATATATGCGACTATAACTTGCTTGGGTGACGCGTAGATGTTTTATATGGGTACGTTTATTTTTGTTTAAATATTTCTTTTCATTGAATTGGCTAGTAGAATATCATCTAGTTGCCCAAAAAAATGTGAACTTCTTGTCTTTACATTTTGTTAAAGAGGGGAAGGAAGAAGGTGGCAAAGAGAGTCGAATCCAAGGGAATATAATAAAGAAAAGGGGAGATATGAGGGGACCCTCAAAATTTAAGGTGGTGGGTGACAAAAACATATGCATGTACAGCATATATATGTATACATATAAAGAGATAGTAGTATACAAGAGTGAGTAAATGTATACCCACAAAACAAAAGTTATTGAAATAATTAGTTAGTGGTAGTTTGAATAAATGAAAAGAGTAATGTACACTAACATTAATAAGGTTGCTGGGGGGTCCCGTCAGAGAGAGCAGCAAATGTATTTAATGTTTGACTCTGACTTCACAGTTGCTGGTGGGCTTACTCCTTTACTCCACTATACCTACACATTAATACTGTATGTACTATTGGAGCTAAGACACTTATCTCAAAATTTTGCTGTTACCAACAAGTTGAAAAACAAATGAAGTCAGTGAAGAATTTAAGAGCCCGGACATAAGAACTTTTTTCTCCTTTTTTCCAATTTTTTTTTTTTTTCGAAATCAGTGTTTGTTCATAAAATTTTTAATTTTCACTTGAAAATGCATTTTGAAAATTTTCGAAAATTTGAAAAACTCTAAAAAACTATTTTTTTAAAATTTTTACTCAAATCACTCACAAAACTTTAAAAGCAACCCAAAGTTATATTCATATTCAAGCATAAATCTAAATTTCAAATATCATTTTCACTTAAAAAAAAATTTCATCCTGTTTTGAAATTTTACAATTCTTATGTCCAAACGCCCACTAAGTCTGCATGTAAATTATGATTGTAATAATTTTGTTCTTTACAAGTAGAGAGCAAGCCATTAATGCTTGCATTAGAGTAATTTTGTTCTCTTTGCATAGAACTTTTCCCTTTTTTTAAGTAAGATTTGACTATAGCAGTGGGTGCCTCTACGTCGTATTCATTATACGTCTGCCTAAGATGTGCTAAAGGTGTATGTGGAACAACATAATCAGTTTTATATATTACATTACACTAAATAAGGCTACTACAATAGAAAAAATAAATTTTAAAAATAACTTTGTTATATAACTTTATTTGATGAAATTCATTACGACGGAGACAATGCTTTATTATGGCTATGGAGAGAACGGTTAGAAAAAGGAGGTACTTCAGGTCCAGGTTTGGTAGCAGTACCTTGTTTTAGATTTCTATTTCTAATAATTCTGCTTTGGCCACTTTTTATAAAGAGTACTACTGTACATTGTTATAACTGCAATTTGAGAATTTGAGTACGGGTTGGGGATGTTTAGGTACCGACAGTTGAGATTTGACTATTGTGTTTTTTCCTCGGTTCTTTTTCCCATTTTATTTTTGTTTTAATAATAAGTCTGATTGCAAACTTGGAAAGTTTACTTCATTTATTATTTTTTTGCTGATAATAGATAGTTTGCAAGCATCAATTTTTAAAGTATATCTAACTTTGGTTAGTCCAAATTAAAAAATGCAACTGTTTAACATTATCAAACGATAAAAGTTTGTTAAAAATCCAACATAACAAATACTAGTATAATTTGATTGTCAGATTTTATACTTCTGACCTCAAAATCAACTTATAGCCTGTTTTCAACCTTCTTGTGAGGCAAAAGTCCTTTTTTTTTGTCAATTTTTTTTTTTTCTAAAATTAAGGTGTTTGACCAAGCTTTTGAAAGGAAACAAAAGTGCTTTTGAGGAGAAACAGAAGCAGTTTTGGAGAAACAGAAAAAAATAACTTCTCTCCAAAAGCACTTTTTTAGAAAACACTTTTGAAAAAATAAACTTAGAAATATTTTTTAAAAGCTTGACCAAACATTAATTGCTGCTCAGAAGTGCTTTTCAAATTAATTAGTCAAATACAAACTGCTTCTCACCAAAAGTACTTTTAAGGAAAACACTTTTAAGAAAAAACACTTATAAAAATAAGCTGATTTTTGCAGTTTGGCCAAACGGGCTATTAGAACACTTACTTTGAGTAACATGCAAGGGAAAGTGCATAGTTTGCCAATACCGTGCTTGATTTAAATTAGTCCAAATTTAAACTCGTGTGCATATCCTGAAGAGAGAAAATTGAACTTCGTAACGGATATTTAATTTGGTCTCTTTTATGAAAGAAAAAAAGGGAGGAAAGGAAAAGGAATGAGTTATCTTTCTGTTTACTGTGTTACTCAAGTTTCTTGACTAAAAAGAGCCCTAAATATTCTCATTCAAGATTTCACAAATCATTAGACGATTATTGAATTTGAAGGGTTGAAGGAAAGTTCTAACAAGCATGTACTTTGAATATGACTTTATTTTCCTTGCCCTTAGCTTGTTTGAATAAGCTCCTCTCTTTCATTTTCCTCTTTTCTTTTCCATTTCCAGAGAAAAAATGGAAACAGAAAGAAAGTTCGTTGTCACATTCTTTCCTAATTAAATACTATTATGGACCTTGAATCCATTTAGTTCAAAATTTGGGGACCATCTTGTTTGGATCGAAATAATTAGATGTCATGCCGAATCTAGTAAAGCAAACCTTTAACGACGAATAATCAGACAATAAAAAAGAAATATCAAAAGAGATATAAATATTAACGCGGTTCGGTCAATTGACATATGTTCATAGACCGAGATGAATAATCTATTATATATAAGAAAGTAACAAATATCGAGAGAACAACCTTAAAAAGAGGCAAACACAAGCGATATGCTAACACCTGTCTTACAAAATTCTCCCCCTAAATAAGACTCTCAAAGCCTTTATGGCTACATTGTGGATGATACTGAATGAGAAAAGGAAGAATCCTTAATTTATAGAAGCCAAAACCCTTTGCTCCGAGAAAAAGGATTAGCCAAATATGCATGGATCATATTCATATGTTGCCCTTACTTCAACAAATATGTTGAAGGAAGCCAATATGGTAAATATGTTGCTCTTCCTTCAAGAAATAGAAAAATCAAATATTGTAAGAAAATTAAGATAAATACCTAACAATTCCTACACTTGGAATGAATTTTCTAACAAAATAAACTTGATCCATCTTCTTCACCTAACCTCCTAGAGGTCGCATCTCCAAATCTCCACCACAATATTTATCTCGACGTGAGTAGTATTTCGACCAAATTTCTCAAACAAAAATCATGATTATCATTAAATAGATTGCGATTAGAACTAAACCCGTCTAAAGGAACCTTTCTTGAACCTCGTTCGAATATTACTTATTAGACTAAAACGATTAAAATAATACTTTTAATATGGTATACTACTGTCTCCATGGTTTTCTCCCTTCCACAAGTTTACCAATATCACATACGTATAGTTCGTATTACTTAGGAGTGTCAATGGATATTAAAAAATCGACTAAACCGATTGAACCGTATCGCACCGAATCGATTTTTAGGACCGTAGATTTTTGTATAAATCTACAACAGTACCGATAATTAGGATAGGTTTTTTATTTTATAATAAACCAAAAAATTACCGAACCACATCGAATAAATTTTACATATGAAAAATATATGGGATTTTTACCTTCCTATACCATATATGAAACCTTATTATCCTTAATGTTTAAGGTTTGTGTTTATTACATTTCAGCATACCAAATTACCATTTATATACCATAATTAATTTAGAGGTATAATTAATTGACAGTTTTTTACTCCTTAATTAAAGGTGTCCATATATCACAAGTTTCTCTCTCCCTTTAATTCCTATATATCCCACATTTCCCTCTCCCCTTAATCCCACGTTTCAAACATATAAAAGC